AGTGGTTATGCAGGTTTTTTATTGGGGTTCACCAGGCATATGGCAGGCAGGGGTGCTGGGGGGCCGGGAGGCTGGCAGTCCTCCCAAGCCCCAGCAGGTCTTCACTCTGGGCTCTCCCGCCTTCTCTCGGCTTCTGAGTCTTAGCCCAGGTGAATCCCATCTACTTATGCCCACACCCTATTCCAGGTGCCCGCCATCAGGCATGCATTCAAGACCACAGGATCCATCATCTATCCTGATGGTGGGAGGGCAGAAAAGCCTGACATTTTCTTTACCCTACAATTCAACACTTAGGGGGTGCCATTCTCTAGAGATACAAAAATCTAGGGAAAATGGTCTTCAAGGAGCAATTCCTCTAAAGAGGTTGGTCATAGAGTCCCGTGGAAAGGCAAAACAATTTTAGGTTTCAGTGGATATGCAGCTGTTAGGAAGCATCAACTTTTCTGCTTGGCTGGTGTTAAGAATGACTCACTCAAAGGTACACGCGAAGAATATCATTCCGTTCTCCCTCCTCCAATACCGCTGCATAGAGTGGCAGCTTCCTTTGTTTCTGCAAGCAGAACTTTATGTTTGGCTAATGGAGGGAAGGTTGAGATGATCAACTGGCCCCTATTTGTTTTCTGGTTTGGAGTTCTCTTATTTGGCTGGCTGAGGCCACAATAGAGCTAATTCTCCGTGTGACATCTTTGAAATTCCCACCCAATGAGGACTTTCCATTCTTCCTTTAGTTCCCCTGAGGTGGCCGAGATGACTGGAATTTTCAAAGTGATTCATATTAATGGCTCAAGGAGAACATGACTGAAATACAGGTCTCATCTAACTTGCTTACACGGTTCATAGACTCTGTCTCATTTCCCATCCTGCCTGAGAATTTCTCTCTTTAATTCTTAGGGTATCTACCCCTTCTATTTGAAAAGGTCTAGCCAAGGGGACTCTCAGGGAGAAAGAGGAGGAGTTAGGTAAGTGAGTTGACAGCCTCTCTCAAAACCACAGTATAACTCTGACCCTTCATTACACGTGGAAAGTAATCTTTGAACCTTAGAGCCTCATTTCTCTCCTTGCTACAGGCAGGGTCAAAGGTTTTTCCTTACACCGCTTCTCTTCATATATTTTCAACTTTTATATTTGTGATTAAGGTTTTCTTGGCGTTCATTTAAAATCAAGTACCTTGTAAGGTCAGGAGCAGACACAGAGCAGGTTTTCTGATCCCATGCAGACCAGGTAAAGGAGGAGTCAGAGTCCTCAGTGGTTTTGCAGGTTTTTTATTGGGGTTCACCAGGCATATGGCAGGCAGGGGTGCTGGCTGGGGGGCTGGGAGGCCTGCAAGTCTTCACTCTATCTGGGCTCTCCCCAGCAAGTCTTCACTCTATCTGGGCTCTCTGGAGTTCGTTCTGCTGCTTCTCGGCTTCTCTTTCGGCTTTGGCTTTGGCTTCTACTGCTGCTGCTGGAGTCCCCGTGACGCTGCCCTTAAAAAGCACAGTCTTAGCTCAGCTGAATCCCATCTACCTATGCCCACACCCTATTCCAGGTGCCCGCCATCAGGCATGCACTCAGGACAAGGATCCGTCATCTATCCTGATGGCGGAAGGGCAGAAAAGCCTGACATTTTCTTTACCCTACATACCTGGATGTAGGACAGAGGCTAAATTGAGCTCAGACAAAAAGCTGAGCTCAACACAAAAAGGAGGGTAAGATGTTTTCTGTCTAGGAGCACGTCAAAGCTTTAATTGCTTGTGGAATTCCAAGAACAATCTTAATGCTTTGATTGATGCATATCCTCAATAAACATGACCATAAGCTCTTAGTAAATGATAACTATATGAAACAGAGGCTTCTTGGCTTCATTAATGAAAGGCAGCAGTAACTAAAACAGTGTCTGTACATATAGTGAGAGAAACCACATTCTTGGTAAGGTCTTTACTCTATGGCCAGGTATCAACTACATTTTTAGGAAACGACAGATAACTGCATCATCAGAAACAGTAATAGCTAGTTCAATAAATCAGAAGACAATTACTAAATATCTACTATGCACATAGGGCAATCAATGTTAGATGCTGGGAGGGATAGAGAATATATCACTGCCCTCAAATTGGGTGGTGGTGGTGAACTCAAACAGAATTATAAGTAAGGTACAGAACAATCAGATTTGATAAGGAAATAAACTCTAATTGTCTAATGTTTGGCTCATAAATTCAGGGCAATTTGTAGTCTTTATGGTTTTTAATAAGGCCACAAAAAGATACCATTTAAACCCCTCACCCTTAAAAAAAAAAGGTCTTTGTGATCCCAATGGTTGGCATTATTGTATAAGCTAAATATTTGCATAATCTACCATTGAGCAATTCATGTATTAGCATGTAACCAAGAGGAACTCCTGTGTAAGAAACACATAAGAAGGTTCATAATACAGAAAAACTGGAAACAGCTTAAATACACTTTGATGGGAGAATGGATTTAAAAAATGTGACTATACCCCACCAAAGGAATATTATTCAGCAATGAAAAAAACCTGAACTCTAGCTACATGTAATAACATGGATATACCTTAGTAATAGTACTGAGTGCAAAAATTATGTCACAGAAAACCAGATTATTGTCTAAATAATGTCTATAAACAAGTAAAGCAACATATTCCTTAGGCACACATATGTGACAAAACTATATAGAAGATTAAAAAGAAAAGAAAAATACCCAAGGGAATGCTAAATAAAAAATTTAAAGGGAAACCATGTGGAGGATGGGAGATAGGGGAGACCTAATTTATTTATTGAAAACATTCTAATCTGGGCCTCCCCAGTGGCGCAGCAGTTGAGCTCTGGGCTGCGAAGCTGCCCATCAGCCTCTGTAGCGTCGGTTCGATCCCTGGTCACCGGGCGAGGGTCCCACATGGCGTGCAGAACTCTCCTGCTGCCCGCTGCTCCCCTCAGCAGTGTACTTCGTCAGTCTACCAGCTCTGTTCTCCCCTCTGGCTCTGGTGAATTCTCTCGCCCTCCCATGCTTCTGACTCTACCCAGTGCTTGTGTAAATAAATAAATAAATCTTAAAAAAAAAACAAAAAACAAAAAATATTCTAATCTTTGGATTGCAGGGTGAGTTCCAGCTGTTCATTATACTCTTAATTCTTAAAATGTAATTGTTATACAGAGTGAGGAATAGTAATGGTTCCTGAAGTTTTTGTGGACAATTTAGTATTAAGTTGAAATAGGAAAATGGGTAGAATATAGTTTTGTTTATTACAGTGCTTATATACTAAGGAGGAAATATGACAAACTCAGATGACAATTTCATGTACTTCCTTATACATGCTCTTATATTACATAAACAACAAATGTCCTTCAACCTCTATCCAAGCCTCTATCCAGCTGGACAGCATGAAGCAAAATCTTTTATGAAATTTTTAATTAAAAATTAAAAAATTTAAATTCCAAGAGAATGCTGGGGAATTTCTATAATCTGCATAGATATTCTTCTTGTCCCAGTTCACCTGAGCTTCTGATCTGCTTCCAAATGTTACTTTACTCTCCTGTTTCTCATTTCTTGCTTTACTCAGGCAGCTCCTGCTTTTGCTGACCTGAGGAATCACGATTACCCCATCTCTCAATTTCCACATTGGTAGCTAGGAACAGATTTTAACACTAAACAATACTTCACTTAGGGATGAAGCATGGAAGAATTACAACATAAAGAACCTTCAGCTGCTTTCTGAGTCCACAAGGCCAATGTATTCACTGAAGACAACTGTCTTCTAAACTACTAGTTGACTCCATTATAATAGGGGTATTGAGTGGATGTTCCTTTCCTGAGGATCTAGAGGGAAAATGCTTTCCCCTTAATCCAGGGTAAGGTTCCTCTCTTTATTTTCTGCCTCAGGATCTGAGCTCTTTTAGGAAGACTGACAGTCTTATGATTAACTTCCTTCAGGGAGGATTTTACCTTTGCTTATATTTGTGCGATTTTTACCTAATCTCAAAGACACCCATAGACTGTAATTGGATAACAGCTATTTCCCCAAATGTGTATTATTCTGTTCTAAATAGCAAGCAATGAAGAGTCGTCTTTGGAGAAAATCAGGACATTTATCAGTCCTTTGGTAGTCCTTCACTACCCACCCTGCAAGCAATTACTCAAAGAGCAATACACATAACCTTCGGAAAATAGGTTTGAGAGACAAAAAAACACTCAAGTCACGTTTTACTCAAATAGAATTTTTCGGAGATTTACAATAGCAAAAAGATCACACTATTTACATTACTAAAAGAACGTTCTTAAATTAAAATTTACCGCAGGTTTTTTGGGAGTGTCTGTTGAACAACTGGGGACAGAGTAAGTTCAGGTTGTTTTTTAGTCTCTTAGAAGGCAAACGTTGTTTACAACTTTTAAAATAAAACTCCCCACCTCCTAGCCCCAACCCCCACCCTAAATGTAGGTTCAGTCTGAGTCAGGGCACTTTCTGCATACTCAATGCACAAGAACTGCTTTAGGGGAGTGATACGTCTGTACGGCGCGCTTAAATGCCTTTCCCAGAAGGGATTTTGGAATTCTTAATCAGCCTTAATGTCCCAGTCTTAGTCCTGTACACACTCTTCTCCGCTGAATGGTAAACTCGCTGATCACAAACTGACTCATCCCCATTCCTAGCACAGTGCTTGGAAAAGCGTAGGCGCCCCACAGTGAATGAATGAGTTTGTAAGAGGAAGGCGGGAAAACGGTTTGTTTTTTCAGATACAACTTGAAGAACTACGGTTGTCACAGTCAAAAAATACCCAAACTTGGACAAATGCCACTTTCAACCATCTGAACCCGGAGCAGGACAGCAAGCCCCGCGCCCTACGACAAACTGGAAACACAGGCGTCCAGGAAAGCCGGAAGCGCCGGGCACGCCTCGCGCATGCGCGCGTCCATTCAGCTGACGCTCGCTCCCCGGAGAGCGCCGAGACGCCAGCCCTTAAAGGCTCGGGCCTGGTCCTCGCCGCAGCGCCACTGCTGCGCATGCGTCCTGAGTGGGCCCGGTCGCCGTGAGGCGGAGCGGAGGGCAGATTTTTTTCTTGCTCCCGCCCCTCTTCTTCCCCCACCTGCCACGTACTGGGCCCGAGCTGCCGCCTGGCTGAGTGGGTCCGCGCGATTGGCCGGGGCCGCGCGAGTCTGGAGCGAGGTGCCGCGGCCTCAGAGGGCAGCCGAGCGGGCCGTGACCGCGGCCTCGCCACTACGCCCGAGCACCCGGCGGCGCGGCCTCGGCTTCCCTTCGGCTCAGTGCGCGGAGACCGCGGAGAGGAGCGGCGGCGGCTTCTTAGCCGGTATGGCCGCGGGAGATGGGGGCGCGGCCGCCGGCTCTGACGGGGCCGGGAGACGAGGAAGCGCGAGGGGCCGGCCGCGACCTGCCGACGCTGGGCGGGTGGGGCGCGGGGCCCTCGGGAAGGGGCAGCTGGCGGGGGGCGGAGGGGAGGCCGGGTGGGGCCTCTCGTGGGGGAGGGGAGGCCGCGGGCGGGGAGGCGGGAGGGGGTCTCCTGCCCGCGGTGCTGGCCGGGCGGGCCTCGGGGGGTTCGGGGGTGTGAGCTGTTTGGGTCGGGAATGCTCTCGCGCCCCCTCCGCCTGGCTCGAAGGGGTCGAGCTGCCCGAGGAGGTGGGAGGGACTTTGGGTCGCCTGTGGTGGTGCCGCGGGTCACCCCGGACGGGCTTGGAAGGGTGAGAAGGTGGAGAAAGGATGGGCGGATTGGGCGCGTGAAGAGGACCCTCCTGGGCTGTGTCAGCGCCTAATCAAGGGCCCGCTGGAGGCCCAGCCCAGTTTTAGAGTGACGGTGATAGTTAACTTTTGAGAGTTTACTTTGCAAGGCTCTGTTACTGAGTATTCCTCACGGTTGAACTCATTTAATCACAATAAGGACCTTCCAGATTTCGATATTATTCCCGTTTTGCATAGAGTGAGAGTGAGCCTTCCAGAAGCACTTGCCTAAGGTCACATGGCTTGGAGTGGGAATCTTTAGCATCTTGCTCGACGGCCTTTGGTCAGGCAGGATTTAGGGCACTTTGCTTTCTTTGGAGTAATCAGGGGTTGATCTTGCTCAGGATTTTTTTTTTTTTAAAGGAAATTGCTACCCGCTGGACCTCTGATTTTGAGCTGGGCGAACCCTTGGGGTTAGAGGAGATGGCGATTTGACCACTGAGTGGACATCTTGGTCAGGAGGCAGACTGTGTGACCTTGGGCATGTCTCTATTCTTCAGTGCTGAAAACTGTTTCTGTTGGAAGGTTTCGTGAGTTAGTGGCTGTGTCATTTCTGGACTTAAGAGAGCTTGGGGGCAAGGAGTAGATGATAGAAGAAAATGCTTCTCACCAGCAGTCCTAGGAACTAGTTGTGCATACTTGTCTCTACCTTGTGAATAAAGTTACGTAAAAAGGGGGCCAGAATTTCATTACATTAAAAACTGTGGAGCTAGACTTTCCCCTGGAGGGGAAAGTTTTGTGGTACCCTTAGTTTTGTCATACTTCAGTGTTTGTGCTGAGAAAACTGCACCAACTGGGGTCAACCTTAGGAAAGAAGCCTTGGTTCTTGGCCACAGGGAATTTACAATCCATGGGAAACAGTAAGAAATAACTGAGTTTGCAGGCAAATTGGCAGATATTAAGAGACTTAAGTTTTCAGATCCATTGGAACTGAGCAATTTTCTCTCCCCATAATCAAAAATATACACTGTCAATTATATTTATTCATTGTTGGAAACTTCTGTTGCACTACATAATGAACTTGTGTAATGAAGGCACTGTGAAGGTGTGATTTATGAACTGACCTGATAGTATAGCTTTCTTCTGCCAGTCCTTTTATCAGAATTTAATTATTCTGCATACATATTACGTTTAGGGGATAAAAACAAGTCTTTAAATGCCTACTGTATGTCAGGCACTTTTCCACATGCTGCTGATAATCGATAATACCCTCTCTGTGAAGAAACTAAGCCCCAATTCTTAACATCATTGCTGGCATATATAATGTAGATAGGAGACAGCTACATAGATTGGTTTACTAAAGTTCTTTATTATTCTCAGGCTGCAAGTCAGAATCTTTACAATCTTGTTGAATAATTACTTTAGAGTTTGGCAATTAATATGTATTTGGTAAATGTTTCCTAGATGAAGAGGGCAGGTTTTGCTAACAGATGAGGTTGTGTGGTGGTATTATATGGTGGCATTATACTCTTCCATATATTAATGGAATTACATACTGTAATTTTAATTACAGTCATGAGGTCCATCTTGGGAACTGGCAGATAAAAAACTATATTCTTAATTTCCATTAAGAGAAGCATAACATAACAGATCATGAACCATGCTCCACTGTTTTCTGAATTTAGTGTTAGATTCAGTATTTAATGCTCCACTTTTAAGATAGGGCAATAAAGATTTACTAAGAAATTATAATCTTTTCAGAGGATGATGGGAACTAGAGACATTAAGGACTTAGTTAAGGATTTAAGGACTTAATTTAGGGACTTGAGGACTGTTAAGGCATTTATATGTAATATTCCTGAAATGAATTTGGATTCATGAAAACTTCAAATATTTCAAGGGTTGGGAGGCAGGTAGGGTGTTTTCTCTCTCTCTCTCTGTCTCTCACTCCCACACAGAGGAATAATTGTAGAGAAGTATGAAAAATCAAGTAAAATGTTGAGCAAATAAAAAATTTAAGAGGTGAAAACAGAAAGCTGCTAGTAATAAAGAATGAGGTAGGATGTGGCCAGTAGGAGACTATAGGGCATTTTAAACAGTCGGAGAGATCATTGCTTGGAGCAGGAAGGAGTTGATGCTGAGCAAATACTCACTTGAAAAGAAGATATAGGCTAGGAGAAGAGATATTAATTCTCCATTATTACACAGTAATCATTTAAATTATTGGAGACCTTTGATATTTTGAATTGAAGATTACAAAGTCATTAGAGGATAATTACACTGAATGAGGTGAAAGAAGATTAAACTCCCCCAAAGAGAAAGCTCTATAGCAAATTACTATTTAGTGCCTAATTCTGCTACCCTGCCTGCTTTCTGAAAGTGTGCAGTGTAATCATATAAACCCATTCAGGTCTGGGGAGTGTTGTGAAATATGTCAAAACAGTAGTGGACAGTGTTGCCAAAAAGCTCAGGAGAATACCACTCATTTGTCTTTTCTCCTCAGGTTCCCAAAATAGAGAGGACAATGTAGATAAAATACTCATGAGGTCTTTTATATTTTAGAATGGAAAACTTGAAACAACTTTAGTATTCACACATGCTTTTTTATTTCCATGGTTAGCATTATAGGCTAATAGAATTTGGAAGATAGTATTTATTTCTCCCTTTATTTACCAAATACTGAATGATTGTCATGTGCTCTGAACTGTTGTAGGCTCTGGGAATAGGGCAGACAAAGCCATTTACTTCCCTACAATCTAGTGGAAAAGACAGTAGAAAGTTAATACATTTTAATATCTGGTAGTGATAGTGCTTTTAAGAAAAATGAAGCAGGGTAAAGAAGTGACAGAGAAGCCATTTTAGATTGTTAGAGAGCCGAATCTTGTGGGGAGTGTGAAAAGGGTTCAAGACAAAGAGCAGCAAGTGCAAAGCCTGGAGACAGAACAGAAAGTATAGATGTTAGCATGATTAAGCAGGGAGAGAGGTCGGAAAAGAGGTTGAATTTTTGGCTAAGAGTCAGAGAGCAGTTCATGACATTGTAGTTCTGGCTTTTTCTAAGAGTGAGCTTGAAATCCATTGGAAGATTTTGAACAGAGTGACATTAGATTATATTTAACAGTATAACTCCAGTATGTTGAGAATAGGTTAAAAGTATGCAAAGGTCAAAAGCCAGGCAGACTAGTTAAGGGTCTTTCGCATTACTCCAGGTGAGAGTTGATGGTGGCTTGGATCAGGTTGATAGAAGTAAAGGTACTGAAGTGGTTGGATTGTAGAGTTTTTGTTTTTGTTTTTTTACATTTTAAAAGGACGGGTTTATTAGGGAAAGGAGAAAAAGAGCAGCACCTGCATAGTCACAGGTGCATGGGAGATTTGCTGTAGAGATACTTTAAAGGTACTGTAGTGTCAATTACTTTTGTTAGCAATTTGGTGGATTCAAGGTATGAGGAAAAGAGTAAGATTTTTTTAAAATCTTGAATAACTAGAGGAAAGAAACTGTCAATAACTAAAATGGAAAAGATTAAAGGAGTTGCAGATTTTCTTGAGAGGGAATTAGTTTTTTCTAGACATGTTGAGTGAGAAATTAAATTGTAGAGTCAGCTGAGTAGTTAAATATGTGAGTAAAATAATATGCATAAAATCTTACGTGGATAATAAAGTTGCTTCAGTTTTCACTAGAATATGGGTCAGTTTGGAATTGTGAATCTCTTTTGAGGACCAGAACTTCTTAGATTCTTATAGGCCTTTGCTTTTCAACTTTAAGGTATATTTTATAATTGTTTAAACTATTTTATCAGTTTCCCTAGAATTGTATATATAAAACATCCTGGAGTCCACCATGAACGGACAGTTGGACCTCAGTGGGAAGCTAATCATCAAAGCTCAACTTGGGGAGGATATTCGACGAATTCCCATTCATAATGAAGATATTACTTATGATGAGTTAGTGCTAATGATGCAGCGAGTTTTCAGAGGAAAACTTCTGAGTAATGATGAAGTTACAATAAAATATAAGGATGAAGGTAAGAGTGTTTCAAAAGATAGTTTTTAAAAGTTTTGCCCATTTTTCATTGAACTGTCGGAATAAAAAAATATGGTCTATGGTGATTGAATGTCCAATTTATTTTACTCAATGTTTATGTAGTTATTCTTTTTTTATAAGTTAAAAATAGGTACGTTTCTTAGAAGGAGAGGTTAAGGATATAATACTCCCACAGTTTTTTAAAGCAACATAAAGAAACAGAGAAGCTGTCTCATGCAATTTTTATAAACCCATGCAATTCCAACTTCCTTTTTTTTTTTTCTTTTAAAATCAGTCTTTCACTTATATTTCTCATTGTGGAAGGGATGTCAGTAAATATTGAATTAAAAAAAAATTTGTGATCAACTATGGGAAAGCTGGTTTAAATAAAGGCAAGTATGTTTATTATATGTATTTTCAGAACATGTAATATACTCATGTACATTATCAATGTATAGTATGCAGTGTTCTCAGACTCATTTGACCACAAAACAATTTTATAGAGATGAGTTTTCTTTAAGATTTGTCTTGAAATTCCACTTCAAACAGTGGAATTACAGTAGTAGATTTTTATTTCATTTTCTTTTTGACTTGTCTTATTTGTTAACATTGGCTGAAATTGTTGTTAAGGTGGTTACCACTATCACTATTGAATTTATTTTCAGTCTGTTTCATCCTGATTTCAATACTTGGCACTGTTATCTATACCATCATTTAAAAAGTACTCTTGGCCCTTAACATTTCTGACACCACTGTCTACATTTTCTTCTCATAGCTTCTTTGTTTCTTTATATTGCTTTACAATTACGCCAAATGTTAAAATATAAATGTTGAATCTCAGTGGTTGAACACTTAAGAAATCCCTCAGGGACCCAAGTTGACAGAAGCTACTGATCTTCAACACAAGGCTTACAAGCTCACCTTAGCATTGGCCTCCAGTGAAGTGCATACAGATGAAGACAGAGTATAGAGGTCACATGGGAGATTGTACTCTCTGGGCCTTGGTGGGCATAGCATTTCTGCTTATATCACATTGGCCAGATCCCAGTCACATGACTCTGCTGAGGTTCTAGTGGATTGGGAAACATGGTCCTGGTTGGGCAGCCACTTTCTAACAACTTATCCTAGAAGGGGATATAAATCACCGATAATCAGCTAATCTGGCCAGTTAATCTGATTGGCCTAAAGGTCTAATCCTTTCTTTTTTACAATATATAATCTAGCACTGAAAACTAATTTTTAAGGAACACCCATGTTAAGGAACAATAAACTTTCTGTTCTCTTTTCTATTCATTGTATTGACTCACAGAGCATTTAGTTTTACTTCTTTGACTTCCTAATTTCTACTGTAATTTGATCACTTTGATCTTTTGATTTTACAGCTAAAAATTTCAACATTGTTTTTTGCTTGAGATTCTTTGCTCTAAACTGAACTCATTGTTTAACTGGCTTTCTCTTACCTCATTTTTGTTTGGGACAAGGGTCAACTTCTTTAAAGGAAAAGATAAATATTTTAACATTGGGTCACATAGCCTTTGTCACATCTTTTAAAAAAAAATCTTTAAAAAATGTAAAAACCATTCTTAGTTTTCAGTCCTGTAAGTGCAGGGATTTATCCATTGGTCAGTTTGTGGACCTTTAACTTAGAATGTTCATGTTGTTGAAACTTTGTTCTCCATTTCTAGTTTAGAATTTGTTTTTTTATGATGTTTTTAAGTTTTTTGAATGGCACAGATTTGTGTTCCATAGCATATGTTGGCCACTATGGTAGAGGGTTGACTTAGGTGAAGTTTCTGCCATCAGAGATACTTTGGTTTTTGTTGGTAGAAATCAGAAAATTATAGTTACAGAAAGCTTTATACTTAATTTTGTTAAAGATGTGTTGATAAGTAGAATCCTTAATGTTGAACATTAGATGTGTTTGTTTAAAGAGGTAAGTCTGTTTATAAAGAGTTAAAAACAATGACAGACTCCTCAGAGCTTTTCTTGTCATACCTTTGTCCAAAATAAATGTTTCTAATCTGTGTTAAAATTAGTGTAACAGTGTATCCTTGGAGCAGTCTGTCAGCCTCCCCAGGACTAAACTTGCCCCCTTCCTCCCCCGCAACTGTCTAGGAAGATACCTACAGAGATGGCTCATCAGCTCCTTGTAGTGACTGCTTTTCTGTTCTAGCTCTCAAGACGTTTTTTCTCCTAGCTTTTTGAAAACTTGTAAAACATGCTATTAATATGCTAATTATAATGTTCTTTATTCTTGGAATCTAGGGGATTTCAGAATCTGGTGTATATGAATTTTTTTTTTTATGGGGAGAGTTGATAGTTTTCGTGTTAGTATTGAAAATGGTCCGTGTCTGGAAAGACTTCAGTGTCTATTTGTTCATTAATGCTATTCTGCAAGTCTTTCGCAACCTTTTTAGTTAGTATAATATATGACTGTCTTCCCATTTGTGTCAATGGCATTTAACTATACTTAAAATTACAATTTGAACCATGAGAATCTTATTACTTTAACTTTTGATAAATATATTAACATTTTTTGGAATGGAAAGATTTTAATGTAAACTAATAATTTGTGATATTGCTATCATGAGTTTCCAGCTGATGACTAGTGAAAGGTTGCTTTTGCAGTAACCTTAGCCTATGTTTTTGGTTCTTATGAGGATATGACAAATACATTCCTATAAGTAATAAACGAAATTGATTTAGTATTTTTTAAACAAATCACTTCAGATCCTTTAATGTTTAAAGTTTTTATGGGAGATTCTAATTGAGTTCTGTGGTCTAAATTTGAATTTTTAATTTAATGTATATCTTAGTTTACCGCTGATGTAAGTCTGAAACTTTTTTCTCTTTTTTCATTCCAGATGGAGATCTTATAACAATTTTTGATAGTTCTGACCTTTCCTTTGCAATTCAGTGTAGTAGGATACTGAAACTGACATTATTTGGTAAGTGATAAACTTTCTGATACTTCCTATTTTATTCACTGCATTTTTATTAAAAACATTGTGAATTTTTCCCTTTAAACATTCAAAATTAAGCATTAACTTTTAAAAAAGATGCTTATCTTAATTCCAGGAGTAGTATTAGATTACTTGAAGCTTTTGGCTTTGTATGTCTTAAGAAAATGATGTATGTTAAAAATTGAGTGTCTTAAAATTGCTTGTTTTTTTCAACTCAGGTATAATATACATTCCTACTAGATTATTATTACTTTAATTTAGCCATAACTGAATTTTCAATTGTTAAGGCTTGACTATATATTTTTTTAAAGATCAGTAGAAAGTAGGAATGTTTTAAATTCTTCATCTGTTCAGTTACCTTAAAAATCTATGTCATTGTCACTAGTATACATCATTTCCAGGATTGAAAATATTAGCAGGGTTAAAACTGCCTTTATTGAATTCTCTAAGAGTATATACTTGATTTCTCTAATGTAGCATGTTTTTATTTTTTTTTATTTATTTTTTTTTCATTCTTTTTTTTTTTTAATATTAAATTTTATTTTTATATTCCCCCTACAATTGCAAACACCCCATTCTGACCCCAATCCTTCCCCTCCCGCCCCCACCCCCCAAAAAGTGTCTCTGGTTCGTAGTTTTTTGTTGATTTTGATTTTCACTTTCTTATATTCATTTTCCTGGTCCCTTATTTAAGTTTTCTGGATTCCTGCTATGAGTGAGACCATCCAGTATTTTTCTTTTTCTTTTTGGCTTATTTCGCTGAGCATGATCCCTTCCAGCGCCATCCATGTTGCTGCAAATTGCATGTGTTTATCTTTTTTGAATGCTGAGTAATATTCCATAGTATATATGTACCACATCTTCTTGATCCAGTCAGGCCTTAACATGTAGACCTGGTACTTTAGATGTTGTTTTTCTTTTTTCTTTATTTACGGCTGCTATGTTCTTTTTCTTTTTTAAATGTAGTACTTTTTTTCTTACATCGTTGTTGATTTTTGGACAGTATATGATTTTTCCTTTCAGGTATGGTCACCATAGTTCTCCCACCACTGAAACATCCGTAGTCTATCACCATATTCCCTTGTGCTCGATTACAGGGTTAAAGTGATTATGTGAAAAGTAAAATGAACAATTTTTTCTGGACATTTTATTTAGTATTAAAAAAACTGATCAGTTGCTTTAATTTGTGTCTATTTTGTCTCTAAGGATTAATATGATTCAGATTTAAAATGCAAACAAATAAAAAAATTAAAAGTTAAAAGTTTTTATTTGTTGTTAGCATTTTAAAGTCTTTTTAAAAAATATAATACCGAATCTAAAATATATGCCATTATTGACGAGTAGGTTAGACAAACTGAAAACCCTCTTTCCAAGAACATTGGGATGTGCAGCATAAACAGTTATAAATTTACCTTTTGAATTGTATACCTGAGCTTTCTTAGGAGAATAAGAGTTCAGGGGCCAAAAAATAGATGTAGTTAAAAACTGGGGCTTAAAATACCAAAACAGAGCTCTTGGTGTGGTAATGGTGAAGATTTTAGTCTTCATAATCTAAGGGCTTTGATGTCCACATGGTATAGACCTTAGGGTCTAGATCCTCAGTGACTTCTGTTCTTAAAAAGAGTATTGTAGAAAAAAGTCTTCCCTCAATGCAGGAAAAGTCAAGGAATTGATATAGGAAACTCATATCCTGGGCTGCCAGGAGTTGGCCAATCTTCCATTAAGGATTCAGAACCGTGGTCCTTAGGTGGATTAAATTTAAATTTAAGCAAGCTGCACAATTTGGGAATTCCAACCCAGACGGCTACATAGAAGGATAGCTGTAACCTTAGGTAAAAATCTCTTTGGAGGAATATATTCTCAATCTCGGTTACATTAGTTTCTCACAGACAAAATCTGGTTGATGAATTGATGAACTTGGAGTTTAGAACCCTAAGTTGGGCCTCCCTATGGCGCAACGGTTGAGCGCTGGGCTGCGAAGCTGCCCGCAACCTCTGCAGCGCCAGTTCGATCCCCAGCTGCCGGCGAGGGTCCCATATAGCTCGCAGACCTCTCCTGCTGTGCCCACTGCTCCCCTTAGCAGTGTACTTCGTCAGTCTGCCTGCTCTCCCTGGTGAATTCTCTCACCCTCCCATGCTTCTGATTGTACCCAGTGCTTGTATAAATAAATAAATAAATCTTTAAAATAAAAAATAGAATTGTAAGTTGCATGAAACAGTCCGCATAATCAACAGAGAATGAATATAACTAATAGGATTAGACTTCTAAGAATTTATAAGTGATAACCTATAAAATTTGTTAAAAATTACTATTTGTAACAAGAAATAACAATATAAGAGCAAAGATATGAAAAGAGATTTTGAAAGGAAAATAAGGTTGTTTTTGAAAATGAAAAATACAAATGTTGTTGTTAAATACTAAGTGGGGAGGTAGAAGTTTAGTCACAGCTGAAGAGGATATCTGAATTGGTAGGTAGTCCAAAACAATTTCATAATAAAGCACAAAAACAGAGGTGGAGAATATGAGAGGAATTTTGACAATGAGAGTGTCCAGCTTATAACCAGTGTAAGTTTAAAGAAGGAAAAAAAAATGGAGAGGGGGAGTGATAATAACTATGAATTTATGGCTGACGAGTTTTTCAGAATTATATAAAAGTTATAAACCTTCAGATACAGGAGGCATTTATCCTGAGCAGCATAAGTAAAAATAAATCACCACTGGGGCCTCCCCAGTGGCGCAGCGGTTGAGCGCTGGGTTGCGAAGCTGCCTGCAGCCTCTGCAGCGCCGGTTCAATCCCCGGCTGCTCCCTGGCCACTGGAGGAAGGTCCCACATGGCGCGCAGACCTCTCCTGCCGCCCGCTGTTCCCCTCAGCAGTGTACTTCGGTCCTTCTGCCTATTCTGCTCCCTGCTCTGGCTCGGTGAATTCTCTCACCCTCCCACGCTTCTGACTGTACCCAGTGCTTGTATAAATAATTAAATAAATCTTAAAAAAAAAAAAAAGAAAACTGTTTCTAAAATAAATAAATAATAAATAAATCACCACTGGGTATATTGTCCTGAAAATGGAAAATAAATTAGATAAAAATAACCTTAGAAGTAGCTACAAAAACAATTAGACTGTTTAGTAGACTTCATAATGATAAATAAGCTGGAAGACAGTGGAGTATATCTTCAAACTGAAAAAATAACTAGAAAGGTAGCATTCCGTAGTCTGCTAAACTTCAGGAATAAGGGAGAAGAAACATTTTCAAAGACAGAGATTCATACACCCTTGTTAAAAAGTTTTAAAAAGTGATTCTTTAGTAAGAAAAAATCAAGTCCAAAAGAGTGTCGTGAAAGATGCAAGAAATTGTAGACAAATTTTTGTGAATTAGTAAATTTAAATGAGTACTGATTATCAATAGCAACAATAGTTTTAAGAGTATAAAATAGTTTTATGTAAGACAGGAGGGGATAATAGGACATGCATTGTTTTAAAGGCCTGTGTTGTTTGGGAGTAGATTTTTTTTTTAATTGAAATATTCATGTTTAAAATGTAAATATAATTATTGAAACACTAGAAGTAGCCAGAAGAGGGAAAAGAAGGAAACAAAGGGTACCTGCTTGGTTCATCAGAGGATGACAAAAAAAAGAAAGCGGAGAGAATGCTTGATAAATGGAAAGCATAAAATACTAATCGCGATATACTTAAATGTACTAATACTAACTGCGAAGGTTGAAAGAAAGAATTTATTGGAGTTAAAAATAATCTGGTTACATGCTGATAATAAAAGACATTGTAAAAGATTTTTATGCCAGATTTGAAAGTAAAGGATTAGGAAAGGACATACTAGACAAACTTAAAGAAAGCTAGTTAATATTAACAGAGTAGACTTTAAGTGAAAAACTTCATTAATATGGTCACTTCATGATGAAAATAATAATTCACTGGAATATATAATAATTCTGAGCACTTAATACAGCATAGCTTTAGAGTTTTCTCTAAGAAAAAATTGGCGAAGGAAAATCAAATAATTACAAGAGCATGTGTTTAATTTTCTCTCAAAACCAGATCAAGCAAGCTCAAATTAGTAACGACAGAGAAAATTTGAACAAACCGGAAAACAGACTTGATTTTGTGATTTTGACAGGAAGGTATTTTTTTTTTTTTTTTTTAGTGCAAAGGACCATTGATAAAATTGATGATATAATAGGTCTTCCAACAAATCTTTAGTGTCAGAGAAGAAATATCCTAGAGGTCATGTTCTCTGAACTCATATATTGAGCAAAAAAAGATACCCACTATGCTTATAAAGATAACATGCTTTTAAATAACAAGTCAAAGATGAAACAGAGTTAGGTTTATCAACTCATTGCAGTGAGGAAGAATGAACATAATGGAGAACAGTGAGATGCTTTAGTGTTAGAAAGGATTTTTCACACATCTTGGGCTTGTGTTACATGATTTGGGATAAGGTTCAAGGAAGTGTGTGACTCTAAATTGGATGCTGTCAAGAAGTGGGGTTGGTGCTATGATTGGGTATCTTAAATCTGGAAGGTTGGAAGGAATGAATTGAGACTAAAACTGCAATTGGTAAAACAGCCACAGCCCATCATATTAACCAGGGTAGGGTGGATGTTTGCTCATATTTGTGGTTTGGTCAGTATCTTGTTTTTGTCCGAGTTCTCACATGATTATGGAATCTTTGTTTTTGTTTTTGTTTTTTTTGATCTATCACTATGAGAGTGATCTTTTCTGATGTTGGTGTTCTTTTAAAGTGTTTTTGTTCAGCAGAAAGACATCTTTCTTTACCTCGAGTACCAGCCCAATTTGTAGCAACACTAGGTCTGCCTGTCTTACAGTACCATGCAAGTTCCTGGCTATCAGGTGTGGTTTTTCTTCTCAGATATTAGAGAAAAACCAGTAAAACTCAGTGAAAGCTAATAATTAAACAGTTTCTGTTGGAGATTATATTGAACTTCCTCACAGCTATATAGGGAGTATGTTAAATACTTGTGAATTTTCTTCTAATATTGGCAGTTTGAAGTTTGGAACACATTTGACAAAGAATTCCAGGAACCTTTATTTTTGAATAGATTTCCTTTTCTAATTTAGTGCCCTAAGAATTTGTGTAAGTGTATACTAGCAGGGCATAAAACATTTTAGTTTGATTCAATTCTTGCAATTTTTGAGCTCCTGTCTTGAGGTTTGCATTTGGAGCCTTGTTTCATCTTTTTCTGAATACCAGTTTTTGTTGCTGGATGAAGGTTGTTTGTATAAAACGGGCAGTTAAATGAGGAAATGTTGCCTTCATTAAAAATAAACCCAATGATGGGGACTACATCTGAGAAAAGAAAGCAAGCATTGTAAAAAAAAAAAAAAGAACAATGATGTAAAATATATTTAAATAATATATTTTTAAAAAAATTAAAAATAAACCATAAAAAAATTTAAAAAACCCAATGTATTATTGGATAATCTTTGACTTTGTGGCTCATAAACTGCTTTTGGATGTAATTGCTTTGAAGGACAGTGGTGATGTAGATAATAAATTCTTCATTTTTGTAATAGGTTACTTTTTAGGTCAGTTATTTTAACCTTTTATTTTCTTTTAGGTTAAAAGTAGGGGTATCTATCACTCTAGTTAATCCCTTTTTAACATTTATGTATAGAATAAAGTATTAGTTCAAGAATATGAGTGTGAAATAAAAGGCACGTAATTTCTATTAAAATAAATAGGTCTTAGTATGTTTTATTCCAGTCCAATTCCTCTAATAAACCTTTTTACCAATATGGTCATAGGCCATGCACCTGGCACCAACAAAAATTGATGAATTTTTTTTTTTTTTCGCAAAAGTAAATTATTAGCAATAAGGAATCCGTTGCCTTAAAAAGAATTACCATTTAAATGATATTGATAGATTTCTTGCTTGATTTTGTTTGGCCTTTTTTTTTTTTTTAAATATTTATTTTTTATTTATACTTGAACCGGGGTACAGGGTGAGAAGATTCACCAGAGACAGAGCGGGGAACAGAACAGGCAGGCTGACGAAATATACTGCTGAGGGGAGCAGTGGGCGCCATGTGGGACCCTCCCCGGCTGGCCACAACTGCAGAGGCTGTGTGGACAGCTTCACAGCATGGCGCTCAACTGCCTGCGCCACCAGGGGAGGCCCTTGTTTTGCTTTTTAAAAAAAAATTTTTTTTTTCCTTGTTGGATATTACTCTGTTGATAAACTTTTTCAAGAACATTTTCTAATCTTAAACAAATTAATGTTTTTATTCCAGTTAATGGCCAGCCAAGACCCCTTGAATCAAGTCAGGTGAAGTATCTTCGTCGGGAACTGATAGAACTTCGAAATAAAGTGAATCGTTTACTGGATAGCTTGGAACCACCTGGAGAACCAGGACCTTCCACCAATATTCCTGAAAATGGTAGTCCATGAGTCTTTTATTCTGATTTATTCTTCCTATATCTATATCTTTTTTGCAGATATTTTTAAAAACTTCCTTAGTAGAATTAGGATGACACAGTCACCCTTTCTTATTCCTGCCTCTATGCTAATTTTCATATTGTATTCCCAAATCTGACTGTTCATCAGGAGGTTTTATTACATCAATTCCTGAGTCTCATACTTCATTAATCTACTGGAGGGCAGGGCTTGGAAATTCCATTATGCAAGTGCTCCTGATTCTTTGACAATTGACCTTGGACTCCTGGGTTTATGACGTATAGGTCATTTTTAAATCCCATTGATTCTTGAACTCTTCTCAGAGAAATAGATATCTAATGAGATTTAGGAACTGAAAATCATTTCGTGACTTTCATGTAATACATGAAGTGGTTTCAAATAAAAGATAATTTTAGATTAGTACCTTTTTATGCTGTATTGTGAAATTTATCTTAAACACAATTTTTAATTTTTGTAATATGCAAAGAAAAATTGATTTCCCCCCATTTTACATGTACTCTTTATATTAAAATAAAAATGACAAATTTGAGTCGACATACAATTTTGGAATGAAATGTTTTAAAATACAGAATGAGTTTTAAGTATATATTAAGACTTGAAAGTTGATTTGAAAAACTGCTTTCTACAACTTAGTATTCTTCGATGTTGTACTTTAAAAGTTTTTTGGTTTCTTTTTATAATTTTTCTATTACATACACATTTCACATGCTTACTAAACCTGTTCATTTTGTGAAATAGTAATTTTTATAGAGTAAATTATTAATAGACGATTTTATGGAAAAGGGGCATTGTGTAAATTCTTGCAATGTTTAGATTCTGAGATACTGTATTTTTTGGACCCATTTAATTAAAACTTTTGAATTTTCTTTAAGTTAACTAGTTAAAGATGCATTTTCCGTGATTTTTTCTTCCCCACTTCTTCCAGCCATGTAGAATTGTGTTAATGGTAGATGGCTTAACAAATATTTGGTGAATGAGTAGTAATTTCTAGTTCCAGCCCTGTAGTTCAGAACATAATGGACATTTGCTGAAATAGTTTAGTGAGGTCTTCCTTATATCTTTATGATGAAACCTTTTATATTACAGGTCAAAGCAAATTGCCTGTTCTGCACCCTATCTAAACGAAAAAAACTCCAAGTTTAGGTCAAGGATTTGAAGAAAGCCTGTTTATTTTTGCAGAAGAATTGCTATATGCTAGCAAAACATTAGCATATCATTTCAGACGATTTAAGCCTGTGTAGAATATTATGAAACTTAGATCAAAATTCAACAGGTATGGCCAGTATTGGGCAGAAATTATTATAGTAGCCTGTGTTTTAGTTTGCAATAAGTGAAAAGATGTATATGCAGAGGAACATAGTAATGTTAGGTGTGAGGGAGCAGTTTATAAGATTGGTGTGATACATTCTTGGGGTATGATCTTGGAATTAGAGAAGGGAGATTGGTGAGTGGTGGGCTTATTTTTTTATTTTTAAGTTGCCTCTGTCCCCAACCCCAGAACCTGTCATGCAGACAGACCAAATTTTGAGTCTTGGAACTTTTCCATGTACAAGAGTCTTTTATTTTTCTTATAATTTTTTTAACAAATATATTTTGGGAATTAGGATCAGTAGGGCCAAAGTACAAAGGTTTTTAAATTTTTTTCTCCCACCATTATTTCTTATACTCTTTGACTCTTTCTCCCACCCTCTCCCTCTTATTCTCAGAAGTCTCACTGTTTATTAATGTCTACTAGTTTTTATAAGTGTTTTGCTTTGTCTAGTTGTCTATTGTGTAAATATTTGATATTTGTCTTTGACTTGCTTTGAATGTCTTCTATTTTGCTGTAAATGGATTATTTAATTTTTCCTTACGAGTATTCCATTGTGTGGATATACCACATCTTCACATCTTCTTGATTCAGCCTTCTTCAGTGGGTATTTAGGTTGTTTCCATGTCCTAGCTATTGCAAATAATGCTGGAGTAAACATTGTAGAGCATATAATTTTTTGATGATTTAATTTTCCTTCGATAGATGCCCAAGAGTGGAATTGCTGTATCATTCGGTATTTCCATTTTGGGTTTTTCTTTTAAGGTAAATCCAGATTGCTTTCCAAAATGGCTGCACCAGTTTACATACCCAGCAACAGTGTAATAGGGTTCTTCTTTCTCCACATTCTTCCCAGCACTTGGAGTTTTTGTTTTTGTTTTTTATTTTATGCCATTCTCACAAGCGTCAGATGGTATCTCATTGTAGGTTTGACCTCCATCTCTAATTGAAATTAAAAAATGATGATCATCATTTTTCTATGCTATCTGTTGGCCTTCTGGATATCCTCTTTGTTTAATTATCTGTTCAAAGCTGCTGCCATTCATTTTTTTTAATGACTATATATATGTAGATATAAATGTATACATATTTGTGTGGGTTTATTGAGTCTGTTTCATTGATCTATGTGTATTTTTATTTCAATACCATAATGTTTTAATTACTGTTGTTGCTTTATACTGTAAAGTCAGGTGATGTGCCTCTATATCTCTCCTTTTTTGCAGGATTGCTTTCACTACTTGAGACCTTTTATGATTCTTTATAAATTGTGATATTTTTCAATTTGAGTAATGTTTATTTTGTTAGGGATTGAGTTAAGTTTATATATCACTTTTGATAAAATAGTCATTTTGACTATACTGATTTCCTTCTTCCATGAGCTTGGATGTCTTTTCATCTCCTTATGTCATTGTCTAGTAGACTTACTTTAAGGGAGTACTTAATAGGACTTTTCTTCTAAAATTGAAGAAATGTTAGTGTACCCAGCAAAATGATAGGAATGAATGAGAACATCAAGCCCACTGTGCTTATATGCTGCTTACACTTTTTTACAGTATAAATACTCTTTTGATAACAGAGGTAATAACAACTTAGCTGTCCACTCAATAACAGGAAAAAAAATTGGTTGTCAGTTAATTTAGTAAATGGTTAGCAATATTCTTTTGTTTACTACTTGTAGGTTATTCCTTGAATTCCTTTTCTTTAACATAGTAGTAGTATAAATGCCTATTGAGTACTTTGGTATCCTTAGAAGAAAACCCTGCTTTTAAATTTACACTGCTTAGAATGTTTAAAATTTTACTTTTCTGCTTTTAAAAATATTTTATTATGGATAAATATAAACATATACAAAACCTGACACACTACTATAATGAATTCCATGAATTCATACCCAACTTCAAAAATTATCAACTATCAGTATCATGTTGTCCACTCACACATTGTTTCCATACCCCCTCAGCTCCTTATTATTTTGAAACAAATCCCAGGCACATCATTTCATTTAAATCAGTAATTTAATGAGTAATAAATACTTTAAAGAGAGAAAGAAAATTAAAAACATGCTTTTTGTGTATTGGTTAGGTTGAGATTTCCGGTCTATTACTCATTGATAAGTTGAAATAAAACAGACGTTGATGGCATAACTTCAGTTAAGTTTCTTGTCCTTTTAAAAAATAAATCATTAGTGCCTAATATGTATCTGATATTAGGATTTAGGTCATCTGTCTCTTCCCTTCCCCCCCCAAAAAAGATTAAAATATTCCTCCGTTAAGCTGCTTTTATGTTTTTCATTCATTTAATAATTCTTAGAGAAGTAGGTAGATAATACAATTGTTTGAAGAAACAATATTTAACTTGTATTTCTATAGGAATAATAAAACCTTTTATTATAAAATAAAAAAAATTTAAAAGTATAAAGAATTAAAATATTCTAGAAGTCTATATTCAGATATACTTATTCCTAACATTTCAGACTATATGTACATATATATTTACCTATTTTAATGCTTTTTTTTTTATTTTGTATAGATAAAATGTAAACATATTTTTGTTCCTTTTATAGATAGTGTGGATGGGAGGGAAGAAAAGCCTGCATCTTCTGATTCTTCTGGAAAACAGTCTACTCAGGTTATGGCAGCAAGTATGTCAGCTTTTGATCCTTTAAAAAACCAAGATGAAATCAATAAAAATGTCATGTCAGCATTTGGCTTAACAGATGATCAGATTTCAGGTAAGTTAATTCCTCCTTCCCATCCTCTTTCTTCTTTCTTCCTTCCATTTTTAGTAGCATACTTGGATATGGTGAAGTGTATAAATTTTAAGTGGTCAGTTCAATAAATTTTTGGATATGTATATGTTTACATAAAGCACCAACTAGATTAAAATGTAGTTGATTCCTAGCACCCGGAAGAAATATTTATGGGTGAAAGAGGTTTATTAGAATGATATATTGAGATATGTGAAAATGTGACAGTGGAGGGAATAGTAACAGAAACAGAAAAAATATTAGATACATTGTAGGAATTGATTAGGAGGCATGTGAGAAGAGGAATTGTGAGAAATATTGTTTGGACCCTCGAATATTAAACTAGAGACTGAATTTGGCTTATGGACTGTGGAGAATGAATGATTCTTTTGATTGCAGATTGTATAAGGTACAGGATATTTGTATTGCGGTGATAAGTTTTGTTTTTTGCAGGGGAATGTTAGAAACCAGGAATATAGTATTCCACATTTTATAGGGAAGGGTTTTCAGTTGTAGCAATGAATACTGAAGAGACTAGAGCAAAGGGAAAAATAATGTACATTTCATGTAAAAGGCTGCATTTGTGATTTTATATATATATATATTCTATAGTACTTCAATTCTCGTAACCAAACATATTAATTGATCTTACTGGGGGAAGATCTTATAATAGGAACTGACTGACTTTTCATGACCATTCAGGGCCACCAAGTGCTCCTGCAGAAGACCGTTCAGGAACGCCTGACAGCATTGCTTCCTCCTCTTCTGCTGCTCACCCACCAGGTGTTCAACCGCAGCAGCCACCATATACAGGAGCGCAGACACAAGCAGGTCAGAGTGAAGGTAAACTAGAGCTTAGAACATAATGTATGGAAAGGTACATGTGAAGAAATGTTTACTGCAGCCTTGTTTGTAATTGTAAAAAATATACATATACATTTATGCTGTGAATATAGTTGTGAAAAATTTTATTTACTTGATACAGTATATTTTTGGGTTAAAAACAATAGAATAATATGTCAAATATTCTTCTGATTATTGGAAAGAATGATATTTGGAAAAGTATTTATATGAATATAAATAAAGTGTGATAGGTCAGAAGGATTCATTCCCATCACTATTCAGTGATAACCAGAGGTGACCCATTAAAGTGACACTTTATTTCATACAATACTTAAATGCTATTTTTTTCTTCTCCCACCCCTCTAATTTAATTTAAAGAGACAAAAATAGAGGTAAAGCATAAAACTTAAGTATAGGGTTTTTTTTGAAAGATAAATAGCCCGTTATATTCTTATATAGTTAGCAATGTTTTTTGTTGAAAAAACAATGTATTTTTTTCTCTGTTGAAATGTATTCTGTTCTTTTAAAAAAGGATACAACTTTAATACAGTGATATTCAAAACATCATTTAATACTTCTTTTGGGCACCTGGTAATGTTTTAATAACATTCAGAGTGTAAAGGATTATAGGAGGTTTTCCAGGTGGCTAAGTGAAAAGGGACAAAGATTGATTGTAGGGAAAAGGAAGAACAAGATAGAGACAATCTGAATAATCAGTGATAAAATCTCTATCACATTGTACTTAGGTTTCTTTCTTTGCAGTAATCAGAATGTGTTTTAAATCACGCATTCCCTAAATGATTTGTCTTTGAGCAATTTAGTCTCCGAGTTTTGATATTCTCTCACTGTTAATTGTGAAAATTGAACTAAAGTGCTTTCAAAAGTATGTCTTTAGTCCTGAATAAAATATAACTTGAAAGCTCAGTATTTAGAACAGATAAAAGGGTCATTGCAATGGTTGAAGAGGATTGAAGAATCACAAACTCATGACAGCACACACTGGGGTACCTCGCTGAACCCTTGTGCAGAACATATGGCTAAGGTAGTTACTGATCTCTGGGATTTTTTTCAGATACTAAAATCTCGTTTCTGTGACTTGCCCATGCATATAGAGATCTTTAAAACTACACATTCCACTTTTAAACAAACACCAGATGGTGCTCTAACTATTTGTTTAAAGGGACCAGGTTGTGGAATGATGTATTTCCAGCACAAGAAATAAGTTATTCAGCAGCAGAAGCAAGTGACTGCCTTTATCCATCTTTTTTTTTTTTTTAGGGGCATGCTTTATTTATTTATTTATTTGTTTTGTTTTGTTTATACATGCACTGGGTACAGTCAGAAGCGCAGGAGGGTGAGAGAATTCACCAGAGCCAGAGCGGGGAGCAGAGCAGGCAGAAGGACTGAAGTACACTGCTGAGGGGAGCAGCGGGCGGCAGGAGAGGTCTGCGCGCCATGTGGGACCCTCCTCCGGTGGCCTGGGAGCAGCCGGGGATTGAACCGGCGCTGCAGAGGCTGCTCGCTGCAGAGGCTGCGCGCAGCTTCGTAACCCAGCGCTCAACCGCTGCGCCACCGGGGAGGCCCCCTTTATCCATCTTATTGAAAAAAGAAAAAGCATAACCTGAAATGAGCTGAGCACTACTAGAGTTCTGTCATCCTGTGGTAGAAACAGTTGTACTTTTAGAGTTGTTCGATTAGATGAATGGTAGTCACAGGGACTAGAAGGGACTTTAGCATTTTGCTAAAGAATGAATGTTTTTGGGAAGAATTTCTTTTTGCTTAATCAAAATTTCTTTTTCTCTATCAATTTTGCACCAAAATACAACTGCTAGAACTGGAACAAAGTAGGATTGACATAGAAGTGGACTGAAGAGGCAGGCAAAAGCAGAGTTTGACTATGAAGGGAGCATAATGTCTATATATCAGGTGAAATAGCCCCCTTTTTTTAAAAATATGTATTTAAGTAGTGCTGCATACTGTTTGAGAATGGCAATTACAATTCAGTTATAAAGAAAGGGATTTAAGGCTGGTCCCTTTATACAGATTATTCTCTCGGGTTTATAGTAATTAAAAATTATTTCACAAAAATGTAAATATTTTAAAATATAAATGGGTATGCAGTGAAAATTAGAAAACTTTTCTACCTCTGTCCCCTTTTCCAGAGGCATCAAAATTAACAGTTGGATATGCAGGGTGGTATTGTAAGCTTTTTTCAAGGTCTGTTCGTGACATTGGTCAATAGGTTAGCATTCTGGTATAACTAGGTTAGTCTTCCCCAAAGGAAATACAGCAGAAGCCATATGTAATTTAATGTTTTTCTATGAGCCACAACAGCTTGAAAGGTAAAATTAGTTTTAATAATACATTTTATTTAACCAGATATATCTGGTGTCTCAACAAGTGGTAGTTCATGAAAATATTAATATTTTACGTTCTATAATTTTTTACTGCATATTGGAAATCTAGGATATGACACTAGTTTGAAACACTTCAAAACACATGGCATATCATGGTGTAGCCACATTTCAAATGCTTAGTAGCCATATGTGCCTATTGGCTAGTGTATTGGATAGCACAGTTCTAGATTAATATATCATTTGTTTATAGATTCCCAAGATTTATTGAAGATTAATGAATACTGTTTGATGAATGATGTATAGTGAATCTCTTACATTACCAGTTTGTTAAGTTTGTTAGCTCAACTGCTCATTATAAACTATTAACAAAAATATTTTTAATGATTAACATAGGAATAGCTTATAATAGAACATGAAATAATTTTAGAAAAAAATAATTTCAGGTTGCTTAAATTCCATAAAAGGGACCTTGGAAATGTACATTTTTTGCAAGGATTTTAATACAGTGTTCATTTAAAAGGGTCAACAAAATGTTGAGCATCATAAAGTGAAGCAAAATAGATAATAACCTTTTTCAGAGAAAGCAGGTGCCTCTGTTACTGGGAAACTTTGTAAATTGGAGTAGTTGTGAAAATCCTAAATAAGTGGTACAGTTACAGAGAAGAGCACTAAAAAGTATCAGAGACTAAGCAGTATTGCTCTTTGATAAACTGAAAACATTAAAGGGATATAATTAAAATTTGTAAAATCATATGCCAATATAATAAGCTTGTTTTTTAAAATGGCTTTTATTATATAAATTTTGAAATAGGCACAAAAGTAGATACAGAATAATTACTTTTTCATATATCCTTCATGAAGCTTCAACACTTACCAGTAATTTTGGCTTTTTTTTTTTTTAACCTGGCTTTTCTTTGTGTTTTAACTTGCTGAAATATTTCAAATCACATCCTACATGTTATCGCATGCAATTTTTTAGTATGCATATTTAAATAATAACCTTTTCTGTTTAACATAACCAGTATGTCATTACTACAACTAACTAAATTAGTAGTAAATCTTGATATTGACATACATTTATATTTGAATTTCCCTAATTGTCTCATAATTATTAGTTAGCTTATTTACATCAGGAATCTAACAAAGTTAACATTTTCCATTTGATTATCTGCCTTCTCTTTTTTCCATTATCTGTCACCCCAATACATTTCCATAGTCAAAACTATGTATATTATTTATTGCTATCTATAACACTTTATCCCAAAACATGATACTAAAAGAGACACATCTAGGCTTGAGTCAGGGATCTGTGAGCAGCTTAGCTGGGATGTTGCTGTTTTTTTAACCAGTTGAAATTTAATTTTTTTATTATACTAATTTAGGTATCGTTGGTTTGTAACACTGTATGTTTTAGGCAAGTTAACACCTCAACAAGTGTGTGTTGTCATACTATGCCCTCCAACAAACCTTTAATAATCCTCCATTGTAGTATTGTGCCCTTCTCCAAACAGCTCACTCTCCCCTTTTGGTAGCCTCAGTTCTACAGTCAAATTTCAGGGTTTTGTTTTTGTCTGTTCCTGTGCTTTGCTTTGTTTATATTCCACACAGGAGTAAAATTATTCGGTATTTTTCTTTTTCCTATGACTCATTTTGCTTAGCACAATCTCCCAATCTCCAGTTCTGTCCATATTGTTGTAAATGGTTGGATTTCATCTTTTTTTTTTTTTTAACAACGGCAGTATTCCATTGTGTATATATACCACATCTTTATTTATTTGTTGTTGGGCATTTAGGTTGTTTCTATGTTAGCTTTGTGTTTTGACTCCAGGTCTCTGTCATCTTAAGCTTAACTGGAACTGGTACATCTCTTTCCAAGATAATCCCTCACATTGTTTTTGGCAGGAGGCCTCAATTCTACCAGAGCACATGATAAAGAGAAATTATAAGGGTGAAGTTAACTGTCTTTTTTGACCATATCTCAAAAATTTATCATTTTTACAGTATTCTATTGGAATACAGGACAGCCCACAGTGTGGGAGGGAATGAATACTCGTGGTTTATTGCTTGTTCTTAGCTCATTTTTGTATTGTGGAGTTAATCTTACTAATTTCTATGGCGATAAGGATACTGACTCATTATCATATACTATACAGGTGCAAGAGTCTGTAGGGGTCATGGTAGAGACTGGTTACCACTCAGTGTAGCAAAGTACAATTCCGGCAGTGTCACCATTATATAAGTGAGTCCTTCAATAATAGTTGCTCTTTTGAGTGAGTTCATAGAATCATTATGGGCAAAAATTTACCACATAGAGCCTTAATCTCAGCCTTTTTGATGGTAACTGAATTAATATTATTATTATGAGAAGTGTGTTTAAAACTCGTTTTAAAGTGAAGCTCCAGAGTTACAAATATTCCAGTCAGTGGTTTTTATTAGCTGTAATATGTTGACGCCAGATAAATGGCATAGTCTTTGTGCATCTGAAATAGATACAGAATAGGGATTGCTGTTGAGGTTGACGTTTTTGCCTGTTCTTTGCTCATTTTTGTATTATAGATCAATCATTTGAATTTTAAGAATAAGAATCGATTGTTGTATACTACACATATTTCTCCTTCTTGGTTGTATTTCTGTGCCAGATTTTTGTAACTTCTGTTCTAAAATTTAGGTATGAAGTACAACCCAGGACTAAGGTGGTATCTAAATTTTTTTAACTTTTAGTGCCTTTGTCTTAAACTATTAAGAAAATATTTAAGAAACTTGTAGAAGTTTCTTTCTTTGGGTGTTTGGGAAGAGGATTAATAGCTTAAAAATAGGTAAGCAAATATTTCTATTAAAAAGAGAAAAGCCACAACTCTTGCTCGAAAATAAGCTGGCTATAAATTACAGGTATATATCTCATGTAGCGTTATAGTACATTGAACTGAGCAACCAGTCTCATAGAGTGGGCTCATCTTGATCTCAGCCTGAGAGTGCTAGCTGCCTACTATAGCTCAATTTCATTGGTTAATGTGGTGACTATTTTTTTAAGTAGTTAATGTGGTGACTACTTTTCAGTAATTCTCTTTCTTCCTAGAGCATGCTGTGTATGCTATTTACTAATAGTGTTTTGATTAATAGCAGTTTGAAAATTTTTCAAGTAATTAGTGAACATAAACTTAGTGAAAAAATTTGAATACTAACCAGATATTAAAATGCAAGTTTTATTGCTACCCTAGGTATTAGAGCTAGCTAAATCCAACATTGGAACTGTAAAAACAGTAGAGATGATAAAGACACAAACCAGTAAATCCTTATTTGGAAATCACAGGTAATAACAGTATAAAAGGTTTATCCAGAGGATCTTTGGTCTAGTTCAAATAGGATTTCCATTTCCAAGAACACATTGCCAGTGTTAAAACAGGTCTGCCATTATTAAAAAGTGTAGTGAGAAACTGTTTAGGCTTTATCAGAGTCCACGTGATTGGATAGGATATTCAGATGTTGGAAAAAAGTCAAATAGTTGTTAAATGCCAAAGGTGTTTTTGGGGCCTAGTAGTTAAGATGTGTAAATTCTTACTACTAAAGAGTCCCTTCTTTTGGTAACAAAGGTTGAAAACTTTAGATGATGATTATAGTGTTTTGGGAAAGATTTAAGAGCTACCAATGATTTGGCCCATTTCTCAGATTTTTTTTTTTTATTGATTTTCAGCTCTTTCAATTTTTACTGAACATTATCAGTACATATCTGTCGGCCATTGAAACCCTTTGTTTTTCTTGAATTTACAAAGTAACAACTAGTACTATTTGCTGTGGGTTAGAGTTCTCTGCAGTTACTCTATAGCAGAGCAAGCTGTACTCTTTAAGTTGGTCATTCTTTTCATAGACACTTAAAAGGGAACAGATTTACACTGTGTGTTTATATGCTTGGATGCGGAGAGAATGTAAATGTGCCTTAAAAATATTTCTCTCTGCTTAGTTAAACCTGTCTTTTTTCCTCATCTTGTCTTTCTTAGGTCAGATATACCAGCAGTACCCACAGCAGGCTGGCTATGGTGCTCAGCAGCCGCAGGCACCACCTCAGCCACCACAGCAGTATGGTATTCAGTATTCAGGTGAGCAGGTGTCCAGAGGGAGTTAGCTCATGGTTTTTGAGCTGTTTCTATACTCATTTAAATTTAAGCCCTTGCTCTTAATTCCTTAGTTTGTAATATTTATACCACTGTAGTAAGTAGTATTTTTTTCAAAAACTTTTACATAAATATTTTATTGTAAGTAAACACTTCATTTTTCCAAAGGGCAAATAAAACATAGTACATGATTATATAATAACTTTAGTATAAAAGTTTTGAATATAAGTCTGTCTCTTACTACTGTGAACAGTTTAACTCTTAGCTGACTTAGAACTGCAAAAATGCAAAGTTTTTCCCCATTGTATGCAACACTTAATCCCAGTGTACTTGTAGTACCTGTAAAAATAGTTTTCTCTTATATGAAAAGGTGACCTTATTAAATAAGAACCATATTTAAGCTGTGCATGTTTTTAAAATCTCCAAACTCAAGCCATAAAAGTAGAAATAAAAATGTAATTCTGTCAACTAAAACCATTAAGTATAGTTGTTTTAAATAGGCATGCTGGGTATTTTACTATCTGTTCACTGAAAATTATATGTGTGGCACTGTTAACATTATGGTTGTAATCCAAGTAATTTTTATATTTGTTACATCAGAGAGAGGGTTTGTGATGAGCTCTTGTTTTATAGCCAAACATTTAAAAATCATAATTTCAGCTGTGCCTAAACATAAATTGCTATCTAAACCAAATTCTATTTTATGGAGTTTTGAAGTATCAAAGAGAGCAAGAATCAGCAAACTCTAGTCCATACGTCCAAATCTGGTCTTTCGCTCATTTCTGTAAATAGTTTTATTAGATCACATTCATTCCCATTCATTTCTGTGCTGTCACTGCTTTGGCACCATGACAGTTGAGTAGTTGCAAGAGAGAACCTGTAGCTCACAAAGCTTACAATATTTTACTGTCTGGCCCTTTACAGAAAAAGTTAGCCAATCCCCTTAACTAGGCCAATAAACTTCTATCACTAATTGGGGTTTGGTATATTATAATACATACAAGCAATTTTTATTTGGACTGTATTTTCTGTAATGTGATTAACTTCTACTGATACTTTTTAATTATATAAAATAGGTGAAATAAATTTAAACTTAGATTATGATATTGGGGGATATTTTTAGTATGAAATCCTTTAAAATGTAGCAAATTATATAATTTAGAAACAGTAGATGCTAGAGTATAGAAAATGTAGCATTGGAGTATATTTGAGTATACATCTGGTTATCAAAGCCAGGAAAATTTCAACCCTCATGTGTTTCAGAATCATCAGAGAGCTTTTTGCATTATAGCTACCTGGGTGCTTGTTCCAGAGATTTTGTTTCATTGTGGGTGGGAGGGAAGGGGGTTCATGATTTGATATTTTAAAAGCATTGCAGGGTCATTCTGAAGCACAGCCAGGGTTGATGACCACTGATGTTGTCCCAGACATTTTTTTTAATAAATGAGGCAAGTAGAATTTAGAGAGGTGGTGATGCATTGAAGGATTTGTAGCCATTCAGGAAAAGGTAGACCCCTGTATACTTTATTTCTCAATAGCATTTTCCAACCTAGACCAGTAGTTGAAGACTTTTCTGCCATTAAAAAGCTATATAGGAAATATTTTATGCTTTGTGGGCCATATGAACCCTTGTCCTATCCTATTTATTTAAAAAACAATTCCATTTCTTGCAGTTTTGGTGTTCTTAACCAAAGTTAATTTTTCAAGGGAGGGTGACTGTAGACACATATAGAAGCATTGCTACAATTTTAAAGACCAACAAGCTGCTTGTGAAATGACTTCCGAGGACCTTTAAGGGTTATTCTCTCTTGAGAAATAATTAAGAATCTGGTTGCTTCCCAACTCATATTAAGCCAGTTTAGATTTTAGTTGCTGGGATGAAAAGCAATTTTTTTTTTTTGACTCGCAGTCTTAAGTTAGGCATTTTTAGTATAAAAGTTGAACACTCTCTCCAGAAACCTAACAGTAAAAATTTTTTTTTTTTTTCATGTAGAGGGTAGGAAATTGTATGATATGCAAGTTTTTATCATGAATTGACTTTAGTATTTAGATGCTACATGAGTAAACTGCATTAGATACTTATTTAAAAATTAAACTTGCTCTTACATGATTTTAGTCAGGTTCTTTACTCTGAGTACAATTTAGTTCTTTTCAAATTATTCTTTGTATTTCTGATCCCACTAGTCCTATAACTTGAATTTGATTGGGAGATATGGAAATAGTCAACTAAATACTCTGCTTGGAGACTGTAAGTGGTGGTGGTAACATTGGACCATCTTTGACACTGTTGGTTTGCCAGTTTCCCTCTGTGACCTTTTCCAGTTTTATTCATGGACTATATCAAAAAGCTTTCTTTCATGAGTAAATTTTGAACCCAGGTTCAAGGTGAGTTCAGAATATACTCAAATTCATTCAATCCTTTTTTTTTTTTTTAATGCAGGGTTGTACATATTTTAATAATTTTCTTATGTATCTGGTATTTAATGCTGACAGGATTCCAGTCAATGGAGAGGTTTCATTGCAAGTAGCTGCAGGTGTGTTTCATGGTAGAGATAAAAGTTTTTAGTGAGCAGACTTTCTTTAAAAAAATTTTACATTCTGGTAAATAATACAGCTTTTGATTTTATGGGGCAATATAGTATGCTTGTTGTGTGTTATGCTGTTACTGCTAAGTCAAAAATTTGTGTTGTAAAGGCAAAAACACTCATACCAAATCTAAAAGTTGCAAGATTTTAAGGATTGTAAAAAAAATGGGTACTTAATGTTTATTCTTAAAAGGCTTAGTTTGTGTAGATGAATACACCTTAAAGTCTCTCAGCACAGTAAGATGTATTTGTTAGCACCATTGTTTCATTTAAAAAATATTCATTCTGACATTATTTGGTATTGTGTTAAATAGGCCTCCCCTCAAAAGAGGTTACTGACTAGCTTTTGCATTAATTCCTGCCTTTTATCATTTTAGCATCTTTTTTTATGCTAGGAGTTAAGCTACAACAGAAATTTGCTCTCAGGGACTACGTAGTCTAGAAGCAGCTGTAATGAAATATACAGATACAGAGTGGTTTCAGTTTTAGAGGGTTTGAAAAAATTGTCTAGCAAACACCTCTGTGATACTCCTTGGTCTTGAAATATTGTATGACGGCATTTACTACTGGTTAAATATTTGGGAAGAGTTTGTTAAATTTCTCATCATTTTTGGCCCATAACAGTAAGGTATTCTCTGGAAAACTTTCACCAAAAGAAAAATAAGATATGAATGTTATTTTGCCTTTTCAGCAGGTTATAGTCAGCAGACTGGACCCCAACCACCTCAGCAGTTCCAAGGATATGGTCAGCAACCAACTTCCCAGGCACCAGCTCCTGCCTTTTCTGGTCAGCCTCAACAACTGCCTGCGCAACCACCACAGCAGTACCAGGCGAGCAATTATCCTCCACAAACTTATGCTGCCCCCACTTCTCAGCCTGCTAATTATACTGTGGCGCCAGCCTCACAACCTGGAATGGCTCCAAGCCAGCCCGGGGCCTATCAACCAAGACCAGGTTTTACTCCACCTCCAGGAAGTACCATGACTCCAAGTGGGCCTAACCCTTTTGCGCGTAACCGTCCTCCCTTTGGTCAGGGCTATACTCAACCTGGGCCTGGTTATCGATAAAGAGGCTTAGCTACACCAATGAATGTAGCTGCTAGCTATTTGCCTCCCAAGAGACTCCAATACTATTTTAATTTGTATTGAAGTTCAGAAATTGAAAAAGCAGAGCATTTTTTTTATGATATTATTGTTGCTGTTAATTGAAAGTATAATTTGCTGGAACTTAAAAGACCAAAATGAAATATTTTCCCCCCTTTGCTTAAGTGTAGCAGCTTCCTAGTTATTTTGGAACACTACTCTTAAATGTGTATAAGTGATTGACTTTCTAGCTTGCCTTTTCCAGAGGATATTAAAATGCTAGGTTGAAGTTTAGCCATCTTGGCTTTTTACTATTAACATGATGTACTAAAGTAGATCCTTTTGAGAAGCCAGGTAGAGGCTATGTATAAAATGTAACATTGATAGGTTAATAAAGATAATTGAATCCATTAGTAGTCTTGTAATTTTAATTCAGTCATTTATATACATGAGTAAAAAGTAAATCTTATTGTTGTTTTGGTCTTTAAAGTATAGATGTTTTAAGTTTGTGTTTTTCCTGATTTTCAAAGAAATGCATTTAACAGTCATTGGCTTAAAGTAGATCTCACAGGTAGATTAGTTTAGGACATAAACACAATAGAGTATTTAAAAGATACTCAATAACCTTTTGATTTTCTTTATAGAGAGGAACCATTCAGAAATGAAGAACATACTCTTAAAAAAACTACATCTCTTTATTGCAGGGTTTATACTTGTTTGAAAAATACAAAAATGTAGCATTGATAAAACTGAAGCCATGTTGAAGGTAAGCACAGGAAAGATCCTTTCAGAATGAGGGCAGCATTCCCTATCTCCCTCCCCAAATGAAGGAAAGCAAGTATTTTAAATAAAAATGAGATTTTCATTATAAGATGAGTTAAACAGAATTATGAAAACATCCTTTGATATATTCATTCCTAAGAAGCCATGTGTAAAAAGTACAGTAAATGTTCTGTAAAATGTTAGGGATCTTTTTGTGCTCAGACTTCCCATTCAGTCTCTGCATACAACTTGATTGGCATGACAGTATAAACATAATTGCTTAAAGGAATACTTTGACATGCAGATGTTATAATATTTATGGGTAGTAAAAGGACAAAATATATTTTGAAACTATCATTTCATCTGAAATGAAATTTACTCAGCATCTTATCAGTATTTATGGAAATGTATATTAATGTTAATCACTGTTTAAATGTTTCAGAAAAAGTAGTTATTGCTAAAAAATTGAAGTTTAAATAAACATGAACCTTAGAACCTTTTTTCCCCACATATATATATGCTGAAGTTAATTTGATCTAATAAGTTAAACCAAGTAGAGATTGATGGAATTAACTCAAAGTAGAAAGAATACACAATAAAAGTAAATAGCTTTTAAAAGTATATTAGTTTTTGATGTTAATTTTGTTATAAAAGTATCTCAAAACATCATTACAACAGTCTGATAAATAATATACACATGATCTCTTAAAATACCATGTCTTAGGGAGCCAGCTTCCCAAAAAATGCTATTCTGTTAATATCTTGCTTTCTTAGAATGACTTTGTAAAACCTGATAAATATCTCAGCAGTCTTTTCTAATAAACATCTAATATTGCTTTTATACATATAGTAAACATAGGTTTTAAATGAATGTGACAAACACCATAGTATTTCCAATTATTTGTGGCCAAGATGAAACAACTTTTGAATATGACTGTAGCATCTACCATTTTCCAGGAATAGTGGTTCCACATTCATACCATTGGACATAATTGATTTGGGTGTGACCACCTATTTCTCCAAACTGGACAGGTTCTTGGCGAACTGCTCTGTAATAGCCTAAGAGAGAAAATAAGTTTTAATAGCTGTTAATATTTTTACCTTTGTTGATCAGATTGAAGGGGGTTACTGGAAAAGGTATTGTAGTAAATGGATAGCAACAGAAGTGCTGGTGTCTTCCCTGAGGTAGTCATGACTGGCTCAACATTAGGAGCACCTGAAGCTCTGACATTTTTTGCCTTAAGTTACATACTACCAAACATCCCATCCTGAGACCAAACTGCAAAGTGGAGGAGTCAGCGGTGTTTTGAGTATTAAAACATTCAATATACTCTGTATATACAGTGACCCTTGAATAACATGATTTTGAACTGCACAGGTCCACTTGTATGAAGATTTTTTTTCAGTTCCTCAGCCTACTCAAAGCGAAGACAACCTTTACAATGTTTCACTTTGTTAACATTTTTCTCTAGCTTCCCTGATTGTAATATTGCAGGATATAATTTTTGTGTCAATCACAAAATATGTGTTACTCAACTGTTAAAGGTAAGGCTTTAGTCAGCAGCAGGCTAGTAGCAGCTTAGGTTTTTGGGGGCGGGGATGAGGGGCTGTAAAAAGTTATACTTGAATTTTCAACCACACTGGATTAATTCCCTCATTGCTCAAGGGTAAAAGAATACTTTTTTTTTAATTTTTTTTAATAAATATTTTATTTATACAAGCACTGGGTACAGTCAGAAGCACAGGAGGGTGAGAGGATTCACCAGAGCCAGAGCAGGGAACAGAACAGGCAGACTGACGAAATACACTGCTAAGGGGAGCAGCGGGTGCGGCAGGAGAGGTCTGCACGGCATGTGGGACCCTCACCCAGCAGCCAGGGATTGAACCGGCGCTGCAGCGGCTGCGGGCAACTTTGCAGCCACTGCAGCACTCAACCGCTGCTCCACCAGGGGAGACCCTAAAAGAATACTTTCTGCACACTATAGACTAGTGGTGGTCTTTGGACAACTGACCTGAGTAAAAGTGCTATGTACTCAAATGTTTGAGCAAACTATCCTGTTTTCCTATTTTTTTTTTTTTAAAGATTGATTCAATACAAGAACCGGGGTACAGGCCAGATGTGTGGGAGATGGGTGGGGAGGATTCACCAGAGACTGAGTGGGGAACAGAACAGGCAGACTGAAATACACTGCTGAGAGGAGCACCAGGTGGGTATCTCCATGGTCGGGATCAAACCCACACTGCAGAGGCTGCGGAGAGCTTCGCAGCGCTGCATTCAACCACCTGCGCCATCAGGGAGGCCCCGTTGCTTAATTTCTAAGTATAAAACAGTGAAATTTCCTTCAAGGATCATTCATTAAATGATCTAACAGTTCACTGTGAGAAATACATGCCATTTTATAGTATGTTATATATCTTAAGTCATCTTTTACTATGATTTGTATTTTTAGGTGCCCGTGAACACAATGTGGTGCTGAAAAGACTAGTCAACTAATTTAATGTTTTAAATGAACGTCTCAATTTTCATTAAGATACTTGGTGCTAATGTGTCATTAGCAAGTAAAAGTGGTCCTTAAAATAGAACAGTTCTGGTAAGAAATTGTTTTTATTTATAAGGCAATTTTTAGGGAATTTATTTGGGAGACCCTGTTACTGTTTTGTTTTTTTTTGGGGGGGGGAGCAAATTTGGGTTTCCTTGAAGTAGAATGCATTTATATATGTGTCTATGTAATTTTGCTTGGCTCTAAGAAATAGAGGCATGGACTGGGAGCAAAGTTGAAACTTCTGTTGAAGTCTTTATATTAAGGTTGTGTATGAAGGTTTTCTTTTTTCAGCCTGATACCTGGAGTAGTAGTGCTATAAAATTATTTTTAAAATGGTTGCCTTCCTCAGCTTCGGTTCTTTCTGGGTGAATTTGGAAAATCTTCCTGTTTATAAGGTGGCTCAGAAAGCATACCTTCTTTGGTGGGTAACTGATCAGAAGTGAGTTGCTGTCCTGTGCGTCCATCTAAAAATGAATCCACAAACTGGCAGTGATCTTCTCCGTGGCCTCTCTGATCTCCTATGTTATAAAATTTTCCTGAAGAGTGAGAAATTGAAAGTATCATAAATTGTTACTTTCTGTGATAATTCTAAAATAATCAAATTGTTTTAAATATTCAATCTTTATTGCCCTCGCACCCTTATTTGAAGCTACAAGTGTTTGGCTGATCTTTTAAGTAGTCTCCCCAGATAGTACCCTGCTTTCAGTCTTGCCTGCTTATATTCTTTTTCCCCTCTTACTCTCAGAGATTAGTCGTCTTTTAAAAATGCAGCCCTGATGTAAATGTTTGCCCTAAATCTCTCCAGCAGTCTCTTATTCTCAGGAAAAAACCCAGATTCCTTACCTGGTTTCAAAGCCCCATTTGATTTCATGCATGTCTGTCTGATCTTCCACTTACTAATCCTTCAGCTACCCTGGTGGAACTGGCTATGCATGTTCTGCTGTAGACCTTTGTATTTCACTTGTCTCTAGCTCTACATCTTCGGTTGGTTGGCTCCTTCTCATAATTTTCTTAAAAGCACATGTGCTACCTTTTCAGAAAGGCTTTGCCTTACCATTCTTACTAGAGCAGCTTCCATGCAGCCATTTTCTCTTTAAGAATTATAATGTTGAAGAAAATTTGTCTTTCTCTACTAGATTGTATGCTCCATGGAAGTAGGGATGTATCTTGTATGCTGCTTTGTCCCCAGTACTTAACAATGTATGACACAAAATGGGTAATGTTCATTGAATGACTGAACAAATGTCTATCTTTCTGCGTTGGGACCAGCCTTGGTTTTTTTTTTTTTTTTTTTTGTTCAAAAACAAAACTCACTGAGTCTAGTTCTAGACCTCTGGCAGACTTACAATTAAAGATGTTAGATTCCTTCCATGATTATTGTTAGAGACACTTGTTAGATGAATGTGTGTACTTTAGCTCAATTTGTTACATCCAAATTTGCCATGATAGCACTGCTTCAAATTGCATTTCCATTATCTACCTTCTAATCGCATGTCAGTCTATGGTGGTTAAGAATTCTAATATCTTGCTCAAAAAGAAAACTTGTATTAACATCACATCATTATGTCTGGTATAGCCCATGGAAAACGCTAAGTTATGGAATGCTAGCATTCCCTAAAGTATAACGATCAAAACAAAGTAAGTATTTCTGCTTACCGGTGAGAGAATCACTCAGATATATCTTGTATCTGAGAGAATTGCACAGCTGCACTCCTACAAACTTTTTATACCATGTCCTCTTGACATACTGTTTGCCCTTACATTCTGAGTAAGAGTCTGAATTAAAAGGTCTTTCAGTCCAGATGGCATCTCTTCCTGCTGCATAAGGAAAATACATGATTTTGAGTTTAGTACGGCAAAGCTATCCTAAAAGCTTTCTAAAAATCACTTTGCAAAGTTCGTTGACAATTTGCTGATACTTGGTTTTCTCTAGTGTTAAATATTGGGGCCAAATGAGTTTAAACCTGTAACCCCCCAGATAAGTTTGTCAATAGTGAGATAAATCTCAAGAGCAGTATGTTTAGCTATTTAAAATCTCTACAGTTGTAGATTTAAATAGGATCCCTTTAAGAGCAAATTTAGTTTTCTTTTTTGCAACATAGTATATACCATTTAAACAGCTATTTTAATGTGACTTGTTATTAAAAGTAGAAATGAAATTGTTATAGCTTAAATTCTTGTCAGGTATATAAAGGAAGGCAAGTTTCAGAATAGACAGCTTAATCTCAAAATACCATACACTCAGTGTTACTGAACATTTGAGGTAAGCATTCACCCCGATCAGGATTCTAAGAAGATTAAATGGACTGGAGTGAAACTGTAACTAAGATCCTGCTGTACCTCATGAATTGAATCAGTATATAGGACATTAGAGGAAAGCATGTAGTTAGGTTTGTGTTGAAACAGGTACTTACCAGAAACTGGCTCGCTCACTCTTGGGTCAGCTGAGGAGGAAAAAAAACAGTCAAAAGTAAGTCTCAAAGTTCCAGTGGCATAGTGAAGAAGATGGGTGGTTTCAGTTAAGTCTTACTTGCAAAATGGTACACTTTTGCTAGAGACTGAGTTTGAAAGTATTGTGGAAACTCCTTGACTGGAGAATCACCTCTACGGTACTCAGCGGTATCTTTTATATATAATTTGAGTAGTTAGGTAACTTTGTTGCTGTTTCAGCTCTTACACATCATTTCAAAAGCCACCTCCGTTAGTTTCATACAGAAAGTACTAATGATTAAATCACCAAGCTGCCATCAGCAGTGTTGTAATAATCATACAAGTAATGCTGTGGGTACAGATGCATCTCATTAAGAAATTAGAGCTTAACATACCATATTAAAAAGCTTCAGCTACATGTCATAAAAAACGAATTCCCTTTCTGGATATACTGTGTCTCAATTTGTCTGACATACATATACACACACACATATATTTGGCTTTTGAAAGGAATATTCAATTTTCTAATTTGTTAGTTTTTCATAAAATGTATAAATTTTGATATTTTGAATCTACTAGGTTCAGAGAGGGTACTTATTTGAATATAAACTGATTACATGGTATTAAAAATATTTTTAGCTTATATGCCCCACTTCTGACATCGAGATAAATGAGGAAAACCTAAGTGATGTTCCTTCGTAAGAGTAACATCAATTTGCTATTTTCCATGGATTTTTTTTTTTGGTGTAATGGAAGAAACTATATGTACATAGTGTTTATTTGACTTTCAGACAAGCTCTCTTTGCAAACAATGTAGCCCAGAGTTACATTCTTGTTGGGAATTACCTGATTCAGTACTGAATGCCACTGTGTTACTGGTGGGGCCTTCACCCAGTGGGTTTTTGGATTTCACTTGGAATTCATAGCTGTGTAGAAGGGAAATAAAAAGAAAATTGTAATCTTCAAGGGTAGGAAACATTCCCCTGTTAAACAGATAGCCTTCCTAATTTTAGGTTTGGTTTGTTTTTTTAGAATTATGATGCCAGTGAATGGACATTTTCTACAAGTAGCTTCAGGAAAGAAAAAAGTAATTTTACTTTCTGAACAGCTTATGTTTTATGTATGATTAAGTTTAAAAAGATAGCTGAGGGCCTCCCCCATGGCTCAGCGGTTGAGCACTGGGTTGCGAAGCTGCCTGTAGCCTCCGCAGCGCTGGTTCAATCCCCGGCTGCTCCCCGGCCACTGGGCGAGGGTCCCACATGGCGCGACAGACCTCTCCTGCCGCCCGCTGCTCCCTTCAGCAGTGTAATTCATCAGTCTGCCTGCTCTACTCTCCCCTCTGGCTCTGGTGAATTCTCTCACCCTCCCGCGCTTCTGACTGTACCCAGTGCTTGTATACATAAATAAATCTTTAAAAAAAGAAAAAATAGATGACTAGTAATGTTATAAACACAATGAGTTCATACTAAACTCTTTAACAGTATCTACTCCAGCACCAACAGCTAGCACCTGAAAGCTATTGATAAAGTTTGCAAAATGTTAAAAAAAAAATGTCCTTTAAAACTGCAAATTACAAATAACTGGGTAAGTTGGTAATGTTTATATAGGGAAGAGGCATGTGGGGGACCTAGGCTATCTAGCAATAAGGGACTTCGTTTCCTTCAAATGTCTCATTTTCTTGGGCAACGAGATGAAAAAGTCCTTTTTCATTCCTTATTATAGTTCAACGCCAACAATGAGGAACCTTGCCTGTGTCACAATCAAATGCTAAAGTGACCGTGGGAAAATTTTTTAAAGATTCTTCCTCCATCCTACCTACTGAGGTTTTGAGGGAGTTCAGTCAGGAATCCTCTGCTATGATATTTGATAACTACTAAACTGTAGGGACAGATGCACATGAAGAAAACTTTTTCCAAGGACTTCTGCTTGCATTTTATGGAACTCAGCTCTCCTGTGGTCCCTGGAAGCCACCAAGTCCAGAGTAAGGACAAGGTTAGTGTCTTCTTGTGAAGAGCATGAGTAAAAGCTCGCTCGCTCTCTAAACCAAATTCATATGGGCCCGGTCCATAATTCTGTTAACAAAACCCAAGTGAACCCAGATTCCTTGGAGTTACATGGAATCCTATCCTCAAAAATTCTGCCCCTTTGGCATAATTTTTGCAAATATTTACATATTTGGCAAATTTTATTCATGGAATACTTAGGCAGAGCAAATTCTTTTAAGAACTTCAGACAGCAAACTATTTGCCATTTACCTCATCAGCAGAGTTAGCAGAAAAGCAATTCTGAATATAAAACCAATTTGGGCCAGCTTATACTATTGTAAGTCTCAAATTTGTACAGTGCTTTTGGGAGATCACTCCAGTTCTTGAAAAGGTGCTAACTGAATAAGAATGTGGAATACAAAAGAAAAATGGTTTTTATAAACAAGTGAGTAACAGAAGGATGACACTTCTCAGTTTGGTACTAAGGATACCAAGTGAACAGTAACAGGAAAACTTTTCTAGAGTCCAAGGAGACAGATTCCTGACTACTGAGGTATTGCACTAAAACTACTAGAAACTCTAAGAAAACACATTCAAGTATTACAACAATAGCAACCACTTTCCCACTTTTTTAGTGCTCATTATGTATCAGATGCAACAATTCTGCATACATTAATATGACACAAACCCCAAGAGCTAGATGTTACTCTGTTTTTTAGTTAAGAACAATGAGGTGCTCAACCATTGTACTACTATAGCTTTGGCTTTTCCAGACTCCCAAGCCTTGTGAAATGATTAAAACATACAGGGTTTTTAGCAGGAGACTGCACATTAAATTACATTTTAAAATTTTAGCAAACTAAGCAACTGATACAAGGTGCTATTACCATTTACAGTTAGAGCCCACTGGATATAAAACCATCCTTGTCACTCATTTACATAAATCACACATACATGGGGTGTTTTGGCATGGAATATTTCCCAGAGATTAAATTCTTGCTTAGAGGCCTGATGACTGTATAAACAAACTCTTCCTCCTCCCCTTCACACCCCTACTATGGTGAACTAAAAATGGGGAAAAAATTGCACGCATCTGGACTTTGTTTCAAGTGGGCAGTACATTCCACATTCCAGATCATTGCCAAAAGCCCCATGCTTTGGCCAAGTCCAATTGCTGGAATCCTCTGTCTCTTTATTTCACAGTTACTTACATTTTAGCTCCATTTGTAGCATGGCCACAAAGTCATTAATGTACTTTGTTTTTCTTGGCCAACTTCTTTTGACAATTGACAAGTTTTGAGGAAAACATGTTAAACTAAGTTTAAGTAATAACACTGGAAACTAAAGGCATATACAGTTGAGTGCTTAAGCAACATATAAACAGGAAATATTGGGAGTATCAAAATCATTTCCAAGAATCATTCTATTATAAAATTTATGACACACTGTAGGTTAAAACTTAGTATTTTCAGAGAATGTTGATAATGTGTAGGATATAAACATAGGAAGTTTTAAAAAATAAAGGATAAAAAAATTTTAAGATAAAAACATAAAACTTAAAATAGTTTTGGAAGATAAGGATATTTTTCAAATAATAGAACAAAAACAAAAAAGTGAGGAAATAGGCGATTGGAGGATTATTCCAAGAAAAACAGTATTTAGTAGTTTCTAGGAGAGGAGGGAAAAAGGGATTTGAAAGTTATCCTGGAAATTGCCCAGAGCTGAAAGGCATGGATTTACAGATCCAAAAAGCGTAATGTATGCCCAGCAAAATGAAAAAGATACTATGCAAATCTCACAAGTTGTACTGAAATAAGGACAAAATCTCAAAAGTTTCTCAGTAGGAATCGGGTCTCATCAAAGGATCCAAAATAAATTACATTTGATTATTCCTGTATTGGAAGTTAGGAAACAAATGATACCTTTGAAGGTCTTCATTTTATCCTTAAGTCTATTTTCCACTTAATAGCTATATCATCAAGGATATTTTTAGACACATAAGGACTCAGAAATAGAATCTTTAATAACCTTTTCTCAAATGCATTTTGCATTACAAATTTAATCCCTCATTTTGCATTAAATAAGGGGGATTCAACATACTACAGAAGATGAGGGATTCCAGGAAATTTTAGCATAAATACATGGGACAAATAGATAAGTATCACCATTTTGAGAAACAGTCCTTCCAGAGAGAATGAATTCAATTAACAGGAGAAATGGCTAAAATAATTGAAAAAGAGTGAGTCAAACTAAGATGGCAACATCAGAGACACCCGAGTTACTCTCCTCTCACAGACTCATTGAATATATAGCTGCGCACAGAACAATTACCTCCAAAAGAGACCCAGAATCTAGCCAAACAACTACACTTCAAGTGAATGAATGAAGACAGGCAGGAAAAGGCTAAGACAGACTCTTGCCTTTAACCCTGTACCTGACCTAGAGACATACAATTGGGCCATCTTCCCTCTAAGGAGTAAGGGTTTAGACCCCACATCTAGCACTCCAATATCTTAAGGTTTCCACTGACTAGTCCCTCACATACATAGCTGCAAAAGCAAATAGGGCTTGTGTTACAATACCCATAATTCAGCAAATGTATAAGGGCTTCTTAAGTGCAGTGTACTCACCATGGCTATCCCTAGCCACTCCCAAACCACCAGGGCTCAGTACAAAGTGAGCAGGCAGAATTACCCATTCCCTAGTATTTCCCCAAAAGGAGTTTATCTGCAAAATTGGAAGCTACCTGAAAGCCAGACTTCTAGTTTAGCTAATCTAGGAGCTGGGAGACACCCCCAGCCTTCTCTCCAGCCTGGAAAGTTATTATTAACTCCCTGGAAAGAGGTTGTATACATGTATGCCCCAACTATTATAACATGCATCCAAGGGATGGTCCCTAGATCACCTGGCTAGGATAGCCAACAATTGCATTCATGAGTACTACTGTACCATAGCAAAGAAGCAGTATTTAAATTGGCCCATAGCCCAGGGCTCAGCACAGCTGAAGAAGAAAAAAAGGTCCATCTCCCAGTCTCCTTGAAAGGGGTTTAACTGCATAGTTTTTCTACCTGAATGTGAGGCTTCTAACCAGCATGTTTCTGTAGGCTGCTGGGATCCTTACCAGACACTCAGAAGCCTGGGGACACCCTTCTATAAACAGAAGTATCCTGCACCCAGTATAGAGAGAGCAGGCAAAAAAGCCCATCTCTCAGTCTCTTCCAAGAGGGGGCATAACTATAATTTCCCATCTGCTACCCAAGGGTGAAATTTTGAGCAGCGTAGTGACTGATTCTACCACTTGGCACTCCGGTGAGTTTTGGCACACCCTTAACTACTGGGAGCCACTAAGAACAGAGAACATGGCTTGAAGATGTTAGAGTACTGATATGCAACTAGGAGCTTGGGCTGGACTGATTGAAGAGTTTCATTTCCTACATGAGACCATTCAAGATTAGTTGTTTTGTCGAATGTGCAGGAACCAACAAGAGTCAAGAAAAATGAACAAACAAATAGGTTCCAAACAAAATAAGGAAAATCTCCAGAAACAGCTTAATGAAATAGACACAGATGATTTACTTTATAGTTCAAAATAACAGCCCCAAGGCAGCAAAAGTGCATGGTGGCCTTACCCCTGGTCTTGTGCTAGGGCCATATACTCACCCAGCCTGGAAAGCCTCCTCTAAACAGTGGTGCCCCAAAACAAAACACACTCTGAGGTGGAAAAGCACAAGTGACAATGTGGATCCACACCAGTATACTACACCACAGAAAGAGCACAAATCTCTAGAACCTAATTACAAAGACACGAAAGATGTCTTCCTGTCAGGAGCAATTCAAAATGACCATGATAAAGAAAAGGAAGAAAATTCAAAAACCAAATGAATAAACAGAAATAAAATCACTGAACACAAGATTAAACCTGAAGCTCTAAATAAGAAAAA